ATCCCATAGTGAGACATCTCACTCATGTTACTCAGAGAACCGGGGTTACGACAGTAACCTAAAGTTTCGCTTTAGCGTCGTTATTCTTTTTTATTAGGAGTTATCAGTGGTTTTGATCAGCAACTGTTAATAAAACAGACATAGCGACACACACACCATCACTGCCTTCACCCTCCAACGGCCTGCTGTGTGTCATCCCAGATTACAAGCTGGTGCTAGCAGAACTCTGAAACTGGCTCTGAGTCAAGGTCACCAGTCGATGGTCTGTCGTGATGACTTTCACCCGTTCGCTCAACCAGACGACTGATGAACTGGAAGTTACGCGACCAGATCAACATTTAATAGATGATCAACCTACTCTGAAAATCAAGTATGTAGATAAAAAAGCAATCTGTAATCTTGTAAAACATATAAATCTTATTTATAGCAAAAGGTTCGAACCGGAGCCATTTTGATCACGTTTTAACGCCCGATCCGAGTCAGAGTCATTCGACTGTGTGTATCTGCTGGTAGCGATTTGATACTTCAGCAAAATATTCAAATAAGAAAAAGAGAAATTACATTCAAGTTGTCCTTTAAGTTAATTTATTATTATTTATGTGCTTATTTCTTTTTGGTGATTGGCTGTGGTAATACAAGCATCACTTGAGGAGGAAAGTTGAAAGACAAAAGTTTGTTTTTAAGGGAGCAAATCATGCAGCTCCATCTTTTCCGCTGTGTAAAATGCACAATGTGCACACATCACAAGGGGCTGCTGACTTGTCTGGTAGGGTTGGGGGATTTTATCGTTTTTCCCACCGCCAGTCATCAGTCCAATAAATGATGATGGCAATTTGTGCATGTGACGTCATGATGCACGGACTGATTTGCGAACGCATAAGTCCAAACACTGATTCATTTTTTTAATAGAAGCACAGCGAATACGTTTGCTGGAAGAGAAATTTAGATGTTTCTTCTTGTTTAATTTTGTATTTGTTGTTTGGTAGAGTGACGTATGAACGGCTCATATTAAACACGGTTAAAGCGTTAAAAAGAAGCTTAGTCTTTGTTTCCCTGTGGTGCCCTCCATTGTGGTATTTTTAATTAAGCAAAATGTTTGTTTTTTTTTCTGAACATTGGTTAGCGGGTTTCATTCTTTTACGAGTTGGAGTAGGAAATGAATCGCTGCTGCATTTAGATGCACTCTGAGGGGGGAGCATCGCAGCCAGAGGTCACATGATCCATTTATCCCCGTCACTTTCATTTTTAAAACAATAATCATTCAATGCGTCTACATTTTCATTAATTTTTAAATAATATTTAGTTCAAACAAGCTGAACAGAGTGCCCTAGTAACATATAAGTAATGCAATGAAACGATTTCACTTCAATTAGGAACATTTCCCCTGCTGCGGCTTGAACGCACATTCCTTCTGCTCTGCGTAAACCTGAACTGTTCACCTGCAGCTTTAGGAAGCTTGCTGAAGAGGTTATGAAGTTCTGGACTTTTGCCTCAGACAGACTGTTTAAACGCTGTTCGGGATGAATCTGCACTCCGCTACACAGTCAAAGCAGGTGCAGAATAACGAGCGTTACTTAAAGAGCAAGTCACCCCCTACCAGAGTATCACTTCGCTCCCACTTCCTGTTTGAAAAATACAACAAATGCTGTTGCCTAGCAGACCGAGAGGGCAGAGCCGCTAACAAATACACACACACACAGGCTCACAACGACACTGTGACATCATATGGTACCAGCTAACGTTCTAGGGTACCTCTCACCCCTTCTTTCCACCGGAGCCGTCAGCAGCACGTCTTGCTCGCGTAAGCTGCTGCTTGGCCCTTCCCACGAGACGCGAAACAGCAGGGGAGCAGCTGTCACCGACCGAGCACGAAGTCACACGAGTGACTTCGTCAGTAAACACAACAAGCAGGAGAAAACTACAACATGGCTCCAAAAGGTTTGTGTTTTATGTTCTGTCCGTTTTATAATCACCAATACGGACCTGAAAAACAAAGGAGACCGCTAGCTAGGTGATAACTTCTCACGGGGACGCACAGTTAGTAACCTTTTTTAAAAGTAAAGCAACCGGAAGGCAGTACGTTTCTTTATTCTGAAAATCTCGGTAGCTTCTCTGCATTTCCGCGTCCGACTTCCCGTCTTTCCTTCCCCAAAAATGTCGAACTTGACCCGTTTCAGAGGCGTCGCGCGTAGAAAATAGAACCGGCGTGTAAAGGCCGCGACATGCTGCTCCTGAGACGCGGCCGACTCGCGCTGCTGACGGCTCCGGTGGAAAGAAGGGGTCAGCCAATAGAGATGGCAGATTTAAATTCAAATGCAGTGCAGAGTTTTTACCTGACAACGGCACAACACTGCCAGTTTTAGGCAGAAAATTAAAATTGTAACTAAAATGCACTAAAGTGCAAAACTAGTGACTACACGTGTCTGCAGCACGATTAGACACACATTTAAATAGTTTACCAGAAAAAAAGTTGATTTGGGGGTGACTTGCTCTTTAAGTCAAAGTTTTAAAATCAAGAAACTTTTCCAAAATGGAATAGCCAGAAGTCTTCCAGAGTCTCTGAAAGACAGACGGATCTCCACTTTCCACTCAACACTGTGCTCTTGTGCACGATGTTGAGCGCATCACAGACGCTCCCCCAGCTCCTCTTCAGTGCTGTTTGCACGCACTGGCAGCAGTGAGAGGCAGAGAAAGTGTGAGATAATGGGCGGATGGAGATCTTTTGTTGATTGTTACCTCTGCGAGGTTCTCTGTGCATAACGTGTCAAATATTCGTCATTAACAAACTAACTCACAGGCAAATAAATAAACAAATCGCCTCTTCTAAAAACAATCGTAACGGCTCAGCCCATTGCCGACGGGCTAACCCTTCTGTCTGGTTTGAAATACGTCCAAACTGCAGACATTATGTCTCATGAGGCGACATGCTAGTTCTGCATTAAGGCTGATTCATGCTTCTCCGTCTGCGTCAGTGCGGAGACACGCAACGCCATTATCCGTCCTTGCGTAGGGCCCCGGCAGGCACGCAAGTACGTACGGAGTTGAACCCACTTTTTTTAAACATCAGTCGAACGAGACGGAGAACTTGTGATTGGTCAGGGCACCGCTGTCGGCTACACCGCCGCCATTGCGCCTTCAAAAACATAAAAGAGAGCCGAGGATAACTAGCGGCAGACATGGAGAAGCTTGAAGAATACCTCGCGAAAAAAACTCTAAAATAAGAACGTTTCATCCTCCCGTGACTGGAGGAGTGAAAAAATATGCAACAAGCGTTTTATTTGTCGACGGAAATGACAGGAAACGTGGGTTTAGAGGTGGGGAGCGCATGAAGAGGTGGAGGAGAATGAGAGACAAATATGTCCGTGTTAAAACGTCTCTTACATACAAAAAAACACAGTATAAACACACTATCTTGGACCGATACATGACAGGATACCACAGAACAGCGCTACGCCCTCTGTTGTCCTGCCGGGGAATTGCTTTGCAACACTCCCCAGGAGACGGAGAAGTATGAGGGCAAAACGCTTCCGTCAATCCGTGTGTGTCTGTCCCTTGCGGAGCTGACGGAGAAGCATGAACCAGCCTTTAGCCTGCTGTCTAGGGATGAGTACCTTTGACATCTGAATGGATACAGTACCAATTCCTGGTACCTACGAATCAATACTTAACGGTATCAAATTTCAATACTTTTGAGTGTATAATAATTATTTAAATAGCGTTTTGATTAAATATATATTATTTTCCCAATATATAACCATATTTGATCAATATCATGATAAATAACAAACAACTGTTTGTATTTTATCATCATAGTGTTGTACAAAATTCTTCAATATGAAAACCTTTAACAACCGTTTCTAAATTATGCAAAAACAAATCCAGCTCCATGTACTCCTAATCCTCTCCTTTCCCCTCTGGACAAACTGTGATGGTGGGTCCTTGTAGTTTTATAAACTGCAAATGAAACCGAAGCAAACATCATTGCTGTGAACTAAATTTACTTCGTATCTTCATTCCTTTTGCCGTTCATTTTCAAAACGTTTATTTTTCCTACTAGGAAGTTGGAATTTCCGAGGAGAATGCGAACGCACCATTAGCTATGTAAACAAAAACTAAACTATCAAGCTAACGTTAACATAAAACAGTTTATTTAGCTGCTGGAGCAGATTAAGATGCCTCATACTCAGATCGTTGTCGCTGGTTTCATCATCACCCAATAGCCCACCTCATTTAGTGAAGTGAAGCCAAACTTTAGAGCGCCTTCGCTTTCTTCGAGTCGGAATTTTGGAGTTCCGAGGAGTAAGCAAACGCACCATTAGCTGAATGGAAACTAACACATCAAGCTAACGTCATCTTAATCATTTTATTTACCTACCGGAGCAGATTAAGATGATGATGCCTCACTTAGATCGTTGTTGCTGGTTTCATCATCACCCAGTTATCCACCCCAGTGGACACAAACTTCAGAATGCTTCCTCTCTGCCGTGCTGCTTTGTTTACACCCACAGTGACAAGATACGCTCTTGCGCCAGGCGAGCGGTACGAGTATCGAAACAAGGCACCGTTTCATATTATGTGAATCGGTACTCAGTCGGTACTTTGGAATTTGGTCGGTGCCTTAAAAAGTATTGAATTCGGTACCCATCCCTAATGGTGTCTGAAACTATCAAATCCAATCCTGTACAAGTCACATGACCGGGGCCCGATTTCCGATCACATGATTGAATAAGTACATTCCTTAGTTTAAACTAGCTGGAAACCATTTTTAAAAACATAATTCATACAAAATTTTAACTAAATGTTATTTTTTATTGTAAGAATAAATAAAACTAGACAGAATCTATCAGATCCCGATGGGAGCCCAGCAGCGCTGCAGCTGCTTGATGGTGTGCAGAAACCATACGTGACCTTTCATTGATCCTGTCACCATAATCAAATTGACAGTTCAGAGTGCCACAAATCAATCCATGAACAAACACAAAAATCACTGCAGCACGTACTTGTATCTGGTTGTAGACGTCATCTTCTCATTGTTCTCCAGGAATCTCTGGAAGGTCTCCTTGGATTCCTTGTATTTAATCCGGGCCTCCTCCTTTTCCTCCTTCTCTGTCTGGACTTTGTAGGCATTGAACGCTTGCTTCTTCTCACTCAGCTTAGGAAGAGCGCTGCAGATGAAAGCTGAATGTAAGGGTCGGAGTTGAAGCTTGTTACTGTAAATATTGGGAATCCTGGGAATACTGCACCTGTAGCGAGGATCATTGATTATCAGTTTCATGGCCTGCTCCCAGGAGGAGTTTGATGCCACGCCCTAAATCAACAAAAACATTCAGATCAGTTCAATAAAAATCTCAACTGGGGGGGAGAAAATGTGCAAAAAATGTCTCTGGTCCGAGGCAGCACAGTTAAAAAAAGACTAATAAAAGTAGGGATGCACCGATCAGGTTTTTTGCTGCCGATCACCGATACCGATATCAAAGAATGCTGATCACCGAGACCGATCACCGATACTGATCATGTGGATTGGCCAGAAATTTTCTACAACATTATAATGAGTGCTACAAACTACATAATCTGGGAATAAAGGAAATGTAACCTAATCTAAAATGGTCTGTATTAGGGTTGTCACGGTGTGAAAATTGAACCTCAAGGTTATTGTGACCAAATTTACCACGGTTTTCGGTATTATCGCGGTATTTTTTTTAAACGTGCTACATTTTCACACAATTAAATAAACCCTGTATGTCAGGAAATATTGTCCTCAGTTTGTGTCTAAATTTTGCCTAAATGTTGTTTATTTGTTTACATTTTTCCCATTAAGTCTTTAAAATACCAATATTTGCCCAAAACTTCTTATTTTTTGTCTGTTTGATGTCATCATTTTAAAAATATTAGATCGGATGACACTCAGTACTCAAGTAGCCTTCTAATCAGATACTTTTTTACCCTTACTTGAGTAATAAACCCTATATCAGGAAAATATTGTCCTCTGTTTGTGTCCTTCCAGTGAGCTTTGCAGATGTGGGAAAATGTCATCAGGCAGTAATCATTGTTAAATTCATAATTATTCTCGGAGAGTGACCAACTCTTATCTGCTCCTGGGAGCCCCGTAATGCATAGCGTCATTTCAACATGGAGGTGTCCGCGACACGGTTTATATGCAGGTAGCGGCGCTGCGGCTGCTTTATATAGCGACTCGTTGCATTCTCCCTCAACCCAAATCCTCAGATCACGCATTTTAGCTAAAACGCTAACGTTAACTTGCCTTGCGTTGACTGTAGAGTTGTGGGTGATGGTCACGCAGATGTGTCATGAGATTTGAAGCGTTGCTGCCTTTCACAGACTCTTTTTCAGCACATGCTGCAAACAGGATAGCCGTCTTCTATCAACTGTCCCTCGGCATTCTTCAAATATCCAAAAAATGCCCGTACTTCCCACTTTGTCTTCTTTGAGGGATAAAAATGTCCTGAGCGCTGCCGTCTACTCCTTTGGCCATTAATGCAGCTTTAGCTTCAAGAAAGTTTTGGCTGTAAACAACAAAGCGCGCATGTGCCGCTGGCAACTTCAGCAGATGATACGGTGGCTGGTAAGGGTCACCGCGCCTACACCGCAGCCACTGTAATCCACCGAGATAATACGGTTAAAAAAAAAAAAAAAAAAAAAAAAAGACAGTTATTATTATTGTCAAAAATTATTTTTTACCGGGGTTTACCGCTACACCAGTTACCATGACAACCCTACCTGATCGGTCTGCTTTGATCTATTTTGAAAACTCCAATCAAAACCGATAGGGGCACTTTCAGCGGATTGGGATCAAATGCTGATCCATCGGTGCGTCCCTAAATAAAAGTTGTGTTAAAGTGTGCGTGGAGGGGCAATAATTCAAGACGGGCTTATATAAGCGCCCAGAACGTGACTCCTTCATCCATTAAGACCCGATTCCACTCTGCATCTCTCGTCTCCTCACTTGTCACAGCTACTCTAACTCACAGGAGCATGCCACTTTCTCTCACCGTCCTAATCCCAGCCAGCCCCTCCTGCCTGTGATCCAATAAAGCTAATCATAAAGACCGACTCATTAAGATCTTCAAGGAAGTGGCGAGCAATCTCAGAGGAGAGCTTTGTGCACAAAATTAAAAAGGGTCTAAATTTAACAACATGCGAGGTGGGTGGCGCTGGGCGGACCTGCGGCTGGAAGCACGGCACGTCTATGGCAGCAGGAGGTGAGCTTAACACACCTCCCAGGGGACCAAGAGAGATGAGGGGGTCAGGGATTAGAGCAAGATCCAGATGCAAAGGACGTGTTGATAAAACTCAGAGGAGAGCTGCAACAACACGAGGATCAGTCAAAATTGCACAAACTCTAAAGAAATATAGAAAACCTGAAGCACCCCTGCTGCAGGTGTGTGTGCATGCACCCATATCCACACGCCTGAGGGAATTTTCCACTCAAATGTGAAAACACTTAACAGAGATTTCCAACATTTTTATTGAGTCTGTGGTGTTTTTAAGACCTTTGAATTGGATTAATGATTATCATTTTTAGGGATTTTAAAGCTTGAATTATGGAAATTCTATCTTAAAGATCCTCAGAAACCCGGAACAGATAAGATGCATCAAATCATGTGTTTTATTCAGCATCTTTCTGCATTTCAGGACAGAGACGCCTCAGGAGGTAGAGGGTTGTCCAGTAATCGGAAGGTTGCAGGTTCAGTCCCAGCTCCTGCCAGAGAATGCTGCCGTTGTGTCCTTGGGCAAGACACTTAACACACCTTGCCTGCTGGCGGTGGTGGTCGGAGGGACCATTGGCACTAGAGTATGGCTGGCCTTGGCTCTGTCAGTGCGCCCCAGGGCAGCTTTGGCTACAATGTAGGGCTGGGCAATAAATCGAAAATTTATTGTTATCAAAATTTCCAACTCTTATTGAAAAAAATTCTCAGGTCAATAAATGTAAAAAAAAAAAAAAAAAAGAATAAAAAAAAGAAAAAAGATGTGTGTAGGTTGGCAACACTCGTGTCCCTTTAAGAAGCTGTACCACCCACATGATACATGTGACAGCCCCATCTAGTGGACAACTTTTGTTTCCGCTCATACCTGTAGTTATCGTCTATTTATCGTTAGAGGTTAAATCCTCAATATATCGTGATATTGATTTTAGGCCATATCGCCCAGCCCTACTACATTGTACCTCATCATCACCATCAGTGTGTGAATGTGTGTGTGATTGTGTTGTGAAGCACCTTGGGGGGTTGTAGAATCTAAGAAGGCGCAATATAAAATTCAGGCCATTTAACATTTCCTGAAGAAGCTTCTGGAACGGAGGGAGACGTTCCCTAGCCTTTGATCTCCAGCTGGACCTACCTTCTCCTTCAGCAGCTCCTTGAAGGCCTGCTTGGCCTCTTCTTTTGTGTTCCACTTATACGTTTTCTTCTGAAGTTCAGGCCGTTCTTCTTCTTTGACTTCAACGCTGAGAGCAAAAAAAGACATCACTGGAATTAGTTTGTTTAATTTCTGTGAATCAAACTGGAGAAGCATCAACTCCAGCTGTTTATCTACATTATACAGGTGCTGGCCAGTAAATTAGAATATCATCAAAAGGTTGAAAATATTTCAGTAATTCCATTCAAAACGTGAAACTTGTACATTATATTCATGCAATGCACACAGACCAATGTATTTCCAATGTTCATTACATTTAAATTTGATATTCATAAGTGACAACTAATGAAAACTCCAAATTTGGTATCTCAAAAAATTAGAATATTCTGAAAAGGCTGAATATAGAAGACACCTGCTGCCACTCTAATCAGCTGATTTACTCAAAACACCTGCAAAGGCCTTTAAAAGGTCCCTCAGTCTTGTTTTGAAGGCCCCACAATCATGGGGAAGACTTCTGACTTAACAGCTGTCCAAAAGACAATCATTGACACCTTGCACAAGGAGGGCAAGACACAAAAGGTGATTGCTAAAGAAGCTGGCTGTTCGCAGAGCTCTGTGTCCAAGCACATTAACAGACAGGCGAAGGGACGGAAAAAATGTGGTAGAAAAAAGTGTACAAGCTCTAGGGATAACCGCACCCTGCAGAGAATTGTGACGACAAACCCATTCAAAAATGTGGGGGAGATCCACAAAGAGTGGACTGCAGCTGGAGTCAGCGCTTCAAGAACCACCACGAGGAGACTCATGAAAGACATGGGATTCAGGTGTCGCATTCCGTGTGTCAAGCCACTCTTGAACAAGAAACAGCGCAAGAAGCGTCTCGCCTGGGCCAAGGACAAAAAGGACTGGACTGATGCTGAGTGGTCCAAAGTTATGTTTTCTGATGAAAGCAAGTTCTGCATTTCCTTTGGAAATCAAGGACCCAGAGTCTGGAGGAAGAGCGGAGAAGCACAGAATCCACGTTGCATGAGGTCCAGTGTAAAGTTTCCACCGTCAGTGATGGTGTGGGGTGCCATGTCATCTGCCGGTGTTGGCCCACTCTGTTTCCTGAGGTCCAGGGTCAATGCAGCCGTCTACCAGGAAGTTTTAGAGCACTTCATGCTTCCTGCTGCTGACCAACTTTATGGGGATGCAGACTTCACCTTTCAACAGGACTTGGCACCTGCACACAGTGCCAAAACCACCAGCACCTGGTTCAAGGACCATGGTATCCCTGTCCTTGATTGGCCAGCAAACTCGCCTGACCTTAACCCCATAGAAAATCTATGGGGTATTGTGAAGCGGAGGATGCAATACGCTAGACCCAACAATGCAGAGGAGCTGAAGACGACTATCAGAGCAACCTGGGCTCTCATAACACCTGAGCAGTGCCACAGACTGATCGAGTCCATGCCACGCCGCATTACTGCAGTTATTGAGGCAAAAGGAGCCCCGACTAAGTATTGAGTGCTATACATGCACATTCTTTTCATGTTCATTCTTTTCAGTTGGCCAACATTAGAGAAACAAACATTTTTTCATTGGCCTTTAGAATATTCTAATTTTCTGAGATACCAGATTTGATGTTTTCATTGGTTGTCACCTATAAATATCAAAATTAAACGTAATAAACATCGGAAATACATTGGTCTGTGTGCATTGCATGAATATAATGTACAAGTTTCACGTTTTGAATGGAATTACTGAAATATTTTCAACCTTTTGATGATATTCTAATTTACTGGCCAGCACCTGTACTGGCCAAACAAGGCCACTGCATTAAACTTGTGCAACTAGTCAGCCGTTATTTAGATACTTTTAACTTTCTTGCATCCAAAGTAAAATTTCATGTTTTACTCAGATTGGATTATCAGTAAGTGCTGCTAATTTCCATCTCATGTGTTGTTTCTGTTTATGTGACAGCAGAAAGGAAGCTAAACTAGCTTGGTGTATCCAATCCTAGTCCTCACCACCATGCCATGCATGCCGTCTATGTTTACCTGCAACAACACACCTGGTATGAATCAGTGGGTGATTAACAGGCTAATGAAGGCCATCAATCTTTAAATCAGGTGTGTTAAGGCAGAGGAGCAGCTAAAACATGTGCAGGGCAGTGGCCCCTGATGATCAGGACTGAGGCCCTGTCCACACGTAGCCGGGGATCTGCCAAAACGTAGATATTTTTCTACGTTTTGGCCTGTCATCCACACGAAAATGGATCTTTTTAAAAACTTCGGTCAAAGTGAAGATCTGCGTTTTCTCCGTTTTGGGTGTCTGCGTGTGGACAGACAAAACCGGAGTTTTAAGGTCCGCAACGTCACTTTCCACGACAAAAAATTGCTGACATCACGTGTGCGACCTGTGTTTACACTAGCCGACAGCACGGATGCCCTCAGAGCTGCGCTCGCTTTATCAATTGTCCAAGCGCTTTTTGCTTGTTTGTTGTTGCAAGCGGAATTACTGCTCCTTGCGGAAGACCACAGACGAAGGACGAGGTTAAGAACGGGGGAAGTACTGCCACCTACAGGTCTGGCATGTCCTTAACAACGTATTTATCCGGGTACGTGTGGACATTTTTTTTTTTAAACGAGGTGATGTGGATGCAATTTTTTGGAGGGGCGGATATTCGTTTTTTTTAAAACCCGGCTACGTGTGGACTAGGCCTAAGACCAGTAACGTCACCGCGCCGCGACGAATACTTTCCAAATTCAGAGTGCTCAGAATGTGGCCTTAAAATCCATTCTCCTTTTCCCTGATTTTGAGAACAGGTGCGGTGTAGTCTCATCATAAAATGCACAGCAGGACAGGTGTTGTAAGAAATTCTGTTCCCCTGAAATCTGTTCCCTCGTGTTGGGAAGTCTCACTTCAAGCCCTCTTCCCACCACTTATGATCGACTTGTACAGAAAAAGTATGTAATGTAATGATGTCATGCTTGTGATATTTTTTATTTATATTTCCTCCTAAAAACAATATAAAAGTACAGTAAAAACATTGTTGTTCACCCTTTTCCAGCAAGTTTATCATTTTTGAAAGTTATGTAAAAGGATGTAATCTAACTCAGTTTAACCATCTTCTATTTGAGGTTGTTTAGGCCTCATAATGAACATTAAGTCCTGTGAATTTGGAAATATTAGTTCTTTATTTGCCCAAGTTATTAGGGGAAACATATTATTTTCTCAGAACACTGGCGGTACCTCTGCTGTAACTCTTCAAACAGTAACAAAACAAGGAAAAAGTTTAACATTTGCAATCTCCACTTATGCAGCTTCTACTTAGTGCGGTAGCAGTTGCTAGGTGACAGGAGGACATCCGTCCTAGTAGGGGCGGGACTATTATTTGAGGCTAGACTATCCAAATTCACAGCTGTTAACATCCGGTCTAACTGGACCTGGAAGAACACGTTCTGCTGAGACCAATGAGGACAGGTACTCATTGGATGCAACCCCTGAATTTGGACACAGCCGTGGTCTGATTTTGTTAGCTTGCAAGAGCTGATTAAACCCCGTCTGCATCTTAACCTGCTTCACACAGGGTTAATTGTGTTAATGCAAATTTCACCTTTTTTTAATCACAGATTTCTGTGGACAAAAATGAAATGCACAAAGAAAAAAAAAACTCAAAAACGAAAATGAAATGGATCTGACATTTTCAAAAACAAAGAAAGATGAAAAGTGACAGAGACGGAAATCCAATCAGAAGACGAGAAAGATGTGAGGAACGGACACGAGGGCTACTCAGCAAATGGAAGAGGCGGGACCTGAGAAGAGAACCAATCAGTGTCCGGAGCCACCCACTGTTTGAACAAGCCCCCATTAAAGGTAACAGTTGAACAATTTATGTTCATGGCTGGGAGAGAACGTGAAAGAATGTCAAATATAATAATAGTTTTAAAAAGAGTTTAGTCAAAAAAAACTAAATTCAAATTTCTTGTCAAATAGAACACTGGCAAGTGAAAAAAGACAACACAAGCCTGTGACAAATTTGAGACGATCAAAGCATCAAAAATGCAAAAACATTATCTTTAAGATAAAAATAGAAGAACAGCAGGACCATAACCAGAGCAGCGAGAGAGGCCATCACTCATCTCCCACAGTTCAAAGTTCAGTCATTATACTAGAATAAAGCTGCCGACCTCCGTGTGCTCCGTTCGTTAACCTTTGCAACGTTCTGATAATTCACCTCCATTTCCATGCATCTGTAAAAGCTACAGTTCAGAAAACTCCTGCAACATTTCCTCTACGTTTTTCTGAAAAAGTAAACTTTCAAATCTGACCCATAGCTGTTTACCTGGCTGTGCTTTCTGTGACGACGGCGCTCTCCGAGGACGTCACAGGTGCATCAACAGCCTTGACCTCAGCTGTTTGATTCACTGTCACCTGGGACGGCGGCTCCTCCGAGACGGCTGCTGTTGCTGCTGCAGTTTCCACCTCCATCACTGTCGCCATAGAGGCTGTAGTCTCAGCTTGAACTGCAGGAGCTGCTGTCGTTCCAGGAACCACCGTCTCTGTTGTTCTGCAATCAAACCCAAATGATCAAAACCAGTGTCAGAATAATCATGCTGTTAGAAATAAGGTAAATAAATAAGAGTTCCTACCCATTCTCCTCTGCTTTGATCATAGCTGGAATAGACACACAAAAAGAGTTAAACAAGGCTTTCGGCTTTCATCTTAAAGCTCGTTATAAAGAAATGCACTCAAGAAGCTTCCAGAACTCATCTACGCATCAAATCATTTGCTGAACATGGCAGCAATAGGAGTGCATGGCTCACGTTAGAAGGCTGGTCCTTTTCTTTACCTTCCAGATCCTCCAGCTCTTTGGGCTTGGTCCACCTGGACTCTTTTGTCTGAGAGTTGTAATAATAAGGCTTCCCAGTGTCGGACTTGTACTCCTTCCAAGGACACTTGGACAGTAATTGCTACAAAAGCAAAAAATATATATATAAGGAAATCGCACTTCAACTGCAAGTTAGAATACACCATCTACTGAATCTGGTACATTTATAATACATGTAATTGTCTTTATTCCTAATTATAAGTACACAGATAAAGAGGCAAATCCAGGTGTTGTGCAGGGCAATCGTACCTCTGCAGGAGACTTGAGTTCATCCGGCTTCTCCCATGTGGACTGCTTGGTCTCCGTATTGTAATAATAGGTCTTCCTATCTAGTGATTTGTGTTCTGTCCACACCGACTTCTAAAGCAAACAAAAACAACAAACACTCTAAATCAGTTTTTTTACATCTTAAAACAACTTGATTTCAAATAAAATACAAGTTGTTTTATTTTGAAAATGTGCAAACCTTTTTTGGCTGTTCCTCCTGTGGCGAGCCGTTGGCGGTACTCTGCAGAGACGAGTCAGACAGACAGACGTTAAAATATAAAAACCTGTCAACGTGTGATGAATGGATATGAAGGAAGCAGCAATAAACGTACGGTTGTTCCAGGCGCTGCAGCTGCAAGAATCAAGACAAAATAAATAAAATTCAGATTAACTTTCAATAAATACAAATGAAAAAAATTGATTTGTTAAAATTATTGTGGTTTTTACCTGTGGAGTCAACACCTGGCTGTGGAGAAAAAAAAAACATTTATTTGTGATTTACCAGTGACAGATACAAGAAAATTCACAGATTAGGTTGTTTTTCTTTACAAATATAAATAAAAAATATAAAAGAGTTACTTATACGTGTAAATGTTAGCATCAAACAGACTGCAGGTTATTTATAAGACGTGTGAAGCATCAAACACCCTGCTTTAGGGAAAAAAAAAAAAGAAGAAGAGGAGAAAAAATGGTGATAAAATTACCGGCCCCGTCGGTTGTACAGATGCAGCTGGGATGCGAGGTGGGATCATCATCCCCGGCATCATGGGCGGCATCATGCCTGCCATCTAATAAAAGAAGCGTTGTGAAACACTCATCTGCAACATTTGAAACCAAACTAGTGAAGGTGCCAAGTATTAAGACACAGTGTGAGAACGGGTGTCTGCGTTGTAACTTGGAGGAAAAAGGTGGGACTGGAGCTGAGTGCTTCTCTTATTTAGCTGTGTGAATACTTAGAGACACCAAACTGCATCTCAACTTCTCAAACTGGTGACACCTTTTCCCAAAATAAAAATAAAAATCACATTTTCAGTGTATCATGATCACATGCACTTACCAAAGTGAGCAAAAAAAATGCTTATTTGGTTTTAATTAAAAATAAAAAGGGGAATGAGAATATTGTAGAAGTAATTAGTCAACCAGTTACTTAACTTTGTATTCAGACCATTTTAAGAGTTGATATATTTTGACTTTCTGATTGAATCTGATAGTCTGCATGTTCTCCCTGTGCATGCGTGGGTTCTCTCCGGGCACTCCGGCTTCCTCCCACAGTCCAAAAACATGACTGTTAGGTTAATTGGTCTATCTAAATTGTCCTTAGGTGCGAGTGTGTGTGTGCATGATTGTTTGTCCTGTGTGTCTCTGTGTTGCCCTGCGGTGGACTGGCTCTCTGTCCAGGGTTTACACCACCTGATTGCCCATTGACCGCTGGAGATAGGCACCAGCCCCCCCGCGGCCCAACGTGGACAAAGCAGGTCAGACAATGGATGGATGGATTAAATCTGATTTACATGTAATGGTTGGAACAAAGAAACGATAAAGAACTACAAATGCACAAATATGTAGGCCAAATATATTTTTTAACAAAAACAGAAGTCTACCTGTCCCATTGGTGGTGCAGCCATAGGTGGCATAATGCCAGGGGGCATTATACCAGGTGGCAATGGGGTCATACTGGGTGGTCGCTGGGCCATAGGAGGAATTCCCATGGCAGGGTAGTGAGGCATACCCGGCGGTCCCATCTAGTCATGGAATTACATTACAAGATGTCAGAAAATAATAAATAAATAAATAACAGTTGTTGTAAACATTTTCATAACTTACATATGGGGGAGGTATTGCTGCGGGGGGTACAACTGGATAAGACGCTGCCTGACTCGAGCCAGTACTGTTCTCTGATGAAGACTGTAATAAGAACACCACAAATGTAGTAGAACATTAGCAGTGTGTGCATCATTCATTTACTTTAAAAAAAAAAGTCCAAACTTTTGACAGGATGGCACAATTTGTAATGTAGAAGCCTGAAAGGTCAGAGGCCACTAGAAACAAGTTTCAGTGAGTATTAGGGTCTCGGTTGCAGCAGGGACATTTCTGGGAGCCAGTTTTTTTCCACAGCCATTGCAATGCTTTATGTAAAAACTGCCGCACAGGCTTGAATATCTGCTTTAAAACTTTGATATTGCACCATAGTTAAAAAAAAGTTCCAATTTTTTAGTTGCTGTTTTTAGTGGTAGGTTACAAAAAAATGCTCACTGCCTGTGTGTATTTACCTGTACCTTTGTTAATTTTTTCATTCTCCCTGGTTTTTTTTTTCAATGTATGCGCTGCTGTAACGAGTGAATTTCCCCAATGTGGGATTAATAAAGTCAATTCTATTCTTCATCAACTCATTTGATCCAATTTCTGACTGCTGACAGCAGTTTTATTCATTTTGTACATCCGGCCCTGCTGTTAAAATGTGTTAATATTTTATGTATGGCTAAAATATGATCTAACACACGAATTTAAAGTAAAACAGAGTCATCACATTTCCCATCAACACCAAAGATGTGGGAACAGCTAAAATACTGGATTGCAATTAACAATGTTCCCACTAAATGTGGTTAACTGACATAAACACGGACAGTAAATTGAATTAGTCCGATCTTATCTTAAATTATTAAACGTACACAGCCGTTTCTGCAACGGTGGTTAGGAGTCCTGACAATGATAGCAGCTAGTTTTGATTAAGAATTACTACACTGGCAGGCTTCGTCTAAATCCTGGGAAAATTGTTAAAGGTGAACGGCAAAACTTTAACGAGTTAATAAATGGCCCCTGTTTACACCCCACGCTAGAAACACCGTTAAGAGTGCCTAATGAAGTGACACATTAACAAGTCAAAACATCTCTAGTGTTGCTTGAACTTTAGATTTTGCACTGCAGCTTTTATTCCGGGTGATACACTACGCCATGACATGATATGCGGCTAAACTCAATGCTAACACATACGCTAACCCGTGGTCTACAGCAAAACATCGCTCTCCTTCGCAGCAAAAGTAAAGACGCGGATTTTATAACGAAAAAAATATATATCTCATTCGAACCACCGCTAACTTAAAACGGTATTATCTTTGTTCCAGAACTTTTCTTAAGAGCGGCTACACTCACCATGTTGACGAGGACCTCTGCTAAATCCGAACACCTTTCAGCAACGACCACAGCGATTGGTTCAAGCTGCTCGTGACGAAGGTAGGTCAAATGATGAGCTTCTTTAATGACATCCTGCGTCGAAAATGCGCATCACTGCAAGAGACTGCGCAATCAAGACACGAGCTCGCTTGAGTATCACAAAATAAAATAAACATTAAATAATTTTTTTAAATAAATACATAAAAAAACTTGAAATATCTGGCACCAAGCCAGCCTAAGGCTGTCTATATCCCTATTTATCAGTCTCTATCTCTATATATCAAAGGTGTGACCAAGTCACTGCTTTGCAAGTCACATGTCTTTCCAGTCAAGTCTCAAGTCAAGTTCAAGTGAAAGACAAGTCCAAGTCGAGACCAAAGTCAATAATGTGAAAGTCCAAATCAAGTCCAAGTCCTTATCTTTGAATTTTCAAGTCATAATGAAGTCATCTGTCAAACTTCAATTTAATGACAATGATAATAAATAAATTCCAGAAATAAAGCTTCTGAAAGCTTAATACATTTGCTCAAACAAGCAGAAAGTGCAACTGAAATTGATTATAAACAAAGTGCTGCTGCATTAGCAGTACAAAATCAAACCCAGAACGAAGAATGATTTATGATTTTTGTCCATGTTGTGCCACTTTTGTTCTAAAATATCAAATATGCTCAAGTCATCATCAAGTCAACAGATGCAAGTTGATTCAAGTCGCAAGTCATTGGCGTTCAAGTCCGAGTCAAGTCGTAAGTCTTTATAGATTTTATCAAGTCAAGTCAGAAGGCATTAAAATAAGTCATGTGACTTGAGTCCACACCTCTGCTATATATGTTCATTTATTTGGCAGACGCTTTTATCCAAAGTGACCTACAATTGTAACCTATAGGGTGCTTCACATAAACAAACAAACAAAAAAATCAATTAAAGTATCAAAAAGTTATTAATAATATGCTTAAAATGAGAAAAAATATTACATTTGTGATTAAAGAAAAATAATGTAAGCAAAGGGAGAGAGACAGTGAATAGGGAAGAGGGAAATCAGTAGATCAAGATAAAGTAGATAATGGTGGAATAAGTAAAAAGAGCAAAATAAAGAAAGGGTGGTGAAAAAGGTCACACAAAAGCCAGCTTGAAAAGGTGGGCTTTCAGCTGCTTTTTAAAGGAGTCCACTGATCTCATGCTCAGGGGGAGAGAGTTCCAGAGTCTGGGGGCCACAGCAGCAAATTATCTATCACCTTTGGTCTTTAGCCTGGTGTGCTGCACAACCAGTAGGCTTTGGTCGCTGGACCTCAGGGACCTGCTGGGGGTGTAGGGACTGAGAAGATCACCAATGTGTGATGGTGCTTGTCCATGTAAGGCCCTAAAGACCAGAACCAGGATCTTGAAATGAACCCTGAAGTTGACTGGCAGCCAGTGACGCTGGAGGAGAAGCAGGGTGATGTGGTGTTTGGAGGACTTGGTCAGAAGCCGAGCACAGGCATTCTGAACCATCTGTAGACGGTTCAGGGAGATTTTGCTCAGACACGTGAAAAGAGAGTTACAGTAGTCTAAGCGTGAGGAGATGAAGGTGTGGAGAACTGTCTCAGTTCAGAGCGGGACAGAATGGGACTCAGCTTAGCAATGTTCCTGAGATGGAATGAGGAAAAGTGGACAAGAGTACTGACATGAGAGTCCAGAGTGAAAGCTGGGTTAAAGGTCACACCAAGATTCCTGACATGTTTGGTGTGAGAAGCAAGCTGACCAAGAAAGTCTCTGACTTTGGGAACCAGCTTGTCTGGGGCACAGATGAGGATATCAGTCTTATCTTCATTTAGTAGTAGAAAGTTCCCAGCCATCCAGCATGCATGGGGAAAACACTTCCTGAGAGTAATGAATTACAGTAATCCAGTCTTGATGTAATAAATGCATGAACTAGTTTTTCAGCAGCACTCCTGGAAAGGATGCTTCTAATCTTAGCAATATTCTGACGGTGGGAAAAAGAAATCCTACAAACCTGTTTAACGTGGGATTTGAATGGCATGTCCTGGTCAAAGATGACACCAAGGTTCCTTACTTTGTTCTCGGAGATTAATGTAATGCCATTCAGGTCAGATGATTGATTAAGCAATTCCCTTCTCTGAATTTTAGATCCAAAGATGAGAACTTCAGTCTTGTCTTGATTTAAAATCACAAAGTTTTGAGTCATCCAATTTTTTATGTCTTCAAGAGAAGCCTGTAATCTAACTAACCGATTAGGTTCATCAGGGTTAATGGATAAATATAACTGAGTATCGTCAGCATAACAGTGGAAGTTTATCCCATGCTGTCTAACGATTCTACCAATTGGGAGCATATATATAGTAAAACGAATTGGTCCAAGCACGGAACCCTCTGGTACTCCACAAGTAAGCCTGGAGTATGAAGAAGATTTGTCACGTACATTTACAAAATGAAATCTATCAGACAGGTAGGATTTAAACCAGCCTAGCCCTGTTCCTTTGATCCCTACAACATGTTCAAGTCTTTCTACAAGAACATTGTGATCAACTGCGTCAAAAGCAGCACTGAGATCTAACAAGACTAGAACAGACACAAGATTCTTCTCTGAGGCCATGAGAATATCATTTGTAACTTTCGCCAATGCAGTTTCAGTGCTGTGATACTCTAAAACCAGACTGAAATTCCTCAAACAGATCATTAGTGTTTAAATGCTCTCATACTTGAGTGTCATTGCGAAAATTCACTTGCTACAGCACATACACTTAGAGAAAAGGAAGTACACAAAGACAATAAGCTATTATTGTTATCAACCACCAAAAACAATGAATAAAAAAGAAACAGGTTTCCAGAACTAGTATGCAGCATGACGGACACAGACATAACAATGCACATTCGGTATTGCACAAGTACTGAACACATACTGAATATTGAGTTGATGTTATTGTGTACCAGGATAATGCCTGTACCAGTTAAACTGAGGACTTATACACTCTCACTGCATAGGGGATGAATGACCTTTGGTAGCGTTCTGTTTTGCATCTTGAATGTTTCAGTCTACCACTGAAGGAGCTGTCCATGGCCTAAGATGTAGTGGGTGGGAGGGATTTTCCAAGATGGTGCTCGCATTCTCCAGCATTCTCCTTTCAGACATCTCCTCAACCGAATCTAGATGGCAGCCCAGAACTGAGCTAGCTTTTTTTAATTAGCTTGTTCAGTCTCTTCCTGTCACGGTGATCCAAAGTGAGCCAAATGTCAGAGCTCCAGAAAGGTACAATGTGCAAACCAGGACCCAAGAGCTACAGCCAGAAAGTCATGCCTGAAGCACTGGAAACTGCTAACAAATGCTCTAAGCCTTGGCCAGCAGCCTAAAGAGATACACGAGAAAAAGTGAAGCCAGATGAATAAACCAGCTCTTCTTGACCCAACCAGCTAAAGTGTACTCTCAGTGGCACGGTAATAGAGTAGATAGAGTAGACCCACCAAGGCTGGAGACTGAACAGTAATGGAAAGACAGTTGCGAGAAGGAGGCATCACACAACAGCAATGCAAAGTGGCTAGCCTCTCTAAGAAAAGACCACAGCGACCTTTCTGAGTAGAACCCAGTATCCATCACTGTGGAAGACATTTAGGAGTAAGTCTCAGGTATGAAAAACTGGACAGCACCAGGACCTGACATCAATACACTCCGTGAGTGCCTGGCATCACAAATGAACCAGCTGCTAAAGGGTGGGACTCACCCTGAATGGCTAACTGAAGGGTGCACAACCCTGATCATGAAGGACCCCTTCAAGGGTACAGTCTCATCTGACTTACGGCCAATTACCTGTCTCTTTACAACATGGAAGCTCATGCCAGGCATCATAGCGACTAAGATAAGTGGGCACATGGATCAATACATTGAGCACAGAACAGAAGGGCATCAGCAGAGATACCAAAGGAGCCAAACCCCAACTGCTGGTAGACTGAACAGGCATCCAAGGCTGAAAAGCCCAACACACCAACCTGTGTATGGCCTGGATTGATTACAAGAAAGCCTATGACTCAGTGCTGCACTCATGGATCATCGAATGCTTGGAGCTGTGCAACATCAACAGGACTCTGAGAGCCTTCATTGCAAACTCAGTGGGGCTGTGGAAAACCACCCTTGAGGCCAATTGCCCAAGTCTCCATCAAATGTGGCATATACCAAGGAGACGGCCTGTCTCCACTGCTGTTCTGCATAGGCCTGAACCCCCTCAGCCAAATAATCAACAAGACTGACTATGGATACCAACTCAAGAATGGAAACACAATCAGCCACCTCCTCTAAATGAATGACAAAGCTGTACGTCAAGAGCAAGTGAGACATCCACTGACTGATCCACACCACCAGGATCTACAGCACTGATATCGGGATGTCATTTGTACTTGAGAAGTGTGATCGGATGGTGACCGCAAAAGGGAAGATAGTCCACACAGAAGGGGTCTCACTACCAGACAAAAAAAGAAAAAAACAATAGCAGACATCGAGGACAACTAGATATACCTTGTTATCCCACAAGCAAATGGCAACCTCGATGAAGCTGCGAGGACAGGAGCCACAGCCAAATACCTACAACAAGTAAGGTAATTCTTAAGAAGTTGGCTCAATGGCAAGAATAAGATCTGGGCAATAAACAGCTACGCCCTGCCATTAATCAGATATCCTGCAGGAATAATAAGCTGGCCAAAGGAAGAAATACAGACCACAGATGTTAAGACATGGAAGCTCCTAACCATGCATGGAGAGTTTCATCCCAAATCCAGCACACTGAGAATGGACACCAGCTGTAAGAAAGGAGACTAGGGAGTGTGAGAGCCACTGTCCAGGATGAAACATCCAAGATCCATAAATACAGCAAGGATAAGGCCCCAAGAGATGATGTGCTCAGTGAATGTCAGTGGCGAACAGAGGAGGAGACGCTGGAAATACCATCGTTTGAGGACAAGCCCTTACATGGGATGTACCACCAACAGATAACTGAAGTGGCCGATATCAAGAAATCCTACCATTGGCTAGAAAGAGCTCGTCTGAAGGACAGCACAGAGGCACTCAGCATGGCTGTACAGGAACAGGCCCTGAACACCAGAGCAACA